CATACAGTAACTTGTCTTTGCAAATAACTTGTTCTAATTGATTCATCACCTCCTAACATTAACCTTGATAATTTGGAGCATTAACCTTGAAAATTTATCATTGTAAGTTTTATGTGTTTCCAAGTTCAATCTACCTAGCGCTTCAGAAATAAAGGCTTCGGTTTGGAAACGAACGCATGCCAATGGACCACTCCATCTCCCCATCCCTCTGCAAAGCGACAACCCTTGTCTCTGTTTGTAGCAGAAGCATGTCTTCTTCAATTTAGGGATGGCAATGGGTCGGGTTGGGGCGGGTTTTGTCAAACCCAGACCCATGGGTTTATCTGCCAAAAAAACCGGGGTAAAACCCGCTGGGTTTGAAAAACTCAAACCCAACCCAACCCGCTGGGTATCCGCGGGTTCATGGGTACCCGTGGGTTTTTGTGGTAAAAAATTTACAATAACAAGTTTCTTTCAAAATAAAATTTTAACATTAATTTTCTCATACAAATTATTCATACAAAAAACACCAATCTAGAGCATACAAACAAACCGCAAATGATCAATACAAATTGTTCAAAATTAAAGATAAACATCTATAAACAATAAGATTAATTGAAAGCTTCTTACTCGTCAACTAAGTTTCTTCACTCTCCACTTCATAATATCAACTTCATTCTAAACAATTAGAAACAACAAATTATATATGTCTCCACAAACATAAAGAATATTAATTGTTTAAGGAAGATATATTATTTAGAGTATTAAATATACCGGGAAAGTAATTATATGTGTGTGGGCAGGTACCCATGGGGCGGGTTTACCTAAACCCAAACCCAACTCGACCCGGTGAATAGTGTAGCGGTTTAAACCCGAACCGGTCCAAAACCATTTGAACACCCCTAGCCAGCCGGATCCTCGGAGGCAAGATAGAGGAGAACGGACGTGAAAATTAATGTGGGGCAAAAGGGGGAAGGAGGAAATCTCGGTGGCAGGGAGAAAAAGGGTGCACAATTAGTTGCCCGTATCCCACCAAATCCCTTAACACTGTGTTTGGGATGAGGGGTAAATGGAGGGGTGTATATTTTGGGGGGTAATGGGGAATCCCAAAAAAATGTACCTGTTTGGATGTGTAGTAACTAGTGTTATTAAAGCCGAGCCGAGCTGCTCGGCCTGACCGGTAAAACCCCCACCCGATCACAAAACCGGTTCGGAACAGTCTAAAAACCGCTCCGGTTTTATGTAGTGGTTGAAGAGCGGTCGAGGCGGTTAACCGTTCGAGCCGATTGAGCCACTCGTCTGGTTTTTATCACTCAGCCACTAAATTTAATTTAAAAAAATTGCAGAAATTTGAAAATTGAAATAAACCAAAAACGTCGGCCTCTTAACTGAATCCTTATTTCCATTTCACAATTTCGAAGGAAAGAGATGAGTTTTGATTAAGAAATATCCACTATTTATACTGATAACGTTTATTAGGTACCGGTTCTTTAACGAGTTTTAAACGGTCTAATGTCGGTTGGACCACTAAAGTGCGAGCCATTCGCATTACCGGGTCATGCTCCGGTTCGGTTCTGACAACATTGGTAGTAACAGACTAACAGTAGGTGGGAGAGCATTAGTGGGGTTTTTCACTATTCTTTCTCACCCCCCAAAATGGGGTGCAAGGGAGGAAAAGAAGGGTGGAAGACAGGGTTTGACGTTGGTTATGTACTTATGTGGAAAAACGAAAAAGGAGGAAGGTGAGACCCAAGGGAGGAAAATATTACGGAGAGATAGTGGGACCATCCCAATTTTATTTTTAATTTTTATTATAATAATAACAATCATATTAAAACTTAATACTTTATTATTCATTTTGTACCCTCCTACTTTTTCTCCGAAACAACAATTTACAGTTCATGCACTTTGCACTTCTCTTAAATGTACTCCCCCCTACAATTTGCACCTCAATTTGCACCCCACTCGAATTTGCACCCTCCTCGTTGCCAAACATAGTGTAAATGCTACTCACAGTATTTATTATCTAATAATAATTAGCAAGGTTGTCAATTCGATTTGGCCAGATCGAATAAGTGGGCTAAGGGTTAATGGTCGAATCGGTTTAGCTCGATTCAGTCCGTTTTAGTCTAGATATATTAATAAATCATTATATCATGTACTTAATTAGATATTAGATATATCATTAACTTTTGATTTAATTTTAAGTGTCATATAATAATTTACCATATATATTAATACTTAAAATAATATATTAAAAATTAGGAGGGAGCAGGGGCGTAGCCAGGATTTTATTCAAGGGGGTGCCATACTTTTTTTACATATATAATTTGATATTTGATATTGTGAAATTATTCTAAAATTATATAAATTGGCTAAACTATCAAGATTTCACAGTTAATATATCTCACCAAATAACCATTCACAATTTCAATTCACTTGATGCGAAAGGCTGGTCAATCGTTTCACTGCATAAAATGTTAACAACTTGTGCATAGACAACTGGCAATAGCAAATCAAATCAATTTTCACATGCAAATACATTAATGAGAACTAATTTTCTCTTTCCGACTATATATCGTTATCATAAGCATCTAATGATTTTCTCTAATAGTCTGCATTTCTTATCCATATTGATAAACTAGAATGTAAAAATGTAGATATTAGTAGATGAAATTAATTTACATAGTTTGTTGTGGTTTAATGATAGCATATTTGACGATTGATATTGAAATTAAGAGATTGAATATCATTATTAACATACTAATATTATTAATTTTGGGCTTTTCTCCAAATCCAAGGGGGTGCCATGGCACCCCCTTGTTTGCCTCTAGCTACGCCTCTGGGAGGGAGATATATTAAAACTTTCGATAGGCAACGCGCGGATGTTGACCTCCAACTAATGGGAGAACTACCCAAAAAAAATGCAAAAGACAGTCACAAACCTTTTAGTTTCAGGACAACCAACCCAGTCAAAATCTGAAAGGGCTTGAATTTGATTGTTAGAAACAGTATAAGAGAATAGACCCTGAGCTGGAGTACTAAGCTTTGATATTTCTTGTAGTAATTGATGTGTGGCTTGCTCATAACTATTGTGGGAGCATCTGCGAATTGGATCGACTGGTTACGGTGTAAGATACATCAGATCATGTTGTACAAAAACATCGAAGTCGACCTAAAAAACTTTTAAGGAAAGTAGTCTTTTTCCCCCTGGTTTGTAGCCCATAAACTCAAGAATATTGGTAAGTTTGGCAATCCATTACTTGCCGACTTGCTTTAATTTTCAAAAGCGTTAACACTAATTTTGGCCCCTGAATTATGTGGTTTTTCTATTGTGGCCCCGAACTAATTTGCTTCCTAATTTATCTCTTAAACTTAGAATATGTTCGTAATGCAGCCCTTACTATTAGTAGTCCGTTGAGCCTGGCCCACATGCTGAGTGCACATAATGAGTAAGCTATAAGTCAGTGCCAAGTCAAACATAAATTGTGTATAGTTACAAAATACTTAATTAACTTGTAACTAGCAGCTCGTTGTTCCTACGAAGGTGAAGGCATTTGTGTGGATCTTGTCAAACAAAGGAATTTTTACCCGCGACAATCTGATGAAGCGAGGGTGGAAGTTGGCGAGCATGTGCGTCATGTGTAGAGTTGTTGTCGAAGACATTAATCACCTGTTTGTCCAATGTTCCTTTAGTTGCAAGCTCTGGAATCTCCTTCTTAATATGGTTGAGATGAGCGGCCCCTTTGAAGATGACATTGATGCCATGATTAAGGGCTGGCCAGTTGCTAAGCCTGTCACTTGGATTGACTGGTTCAAGAGTGTTCTTTTACATGCGTTTACTTGGGAGATTTGGAAAGAAAGGAACGCCCGTGTGTTTCGAGACACCTCTAGACCGTTGCAGATCATCTTCTACAAAACCTGCAGGTCACTGGCTTCTTGGATGACGGCTTCTGGCGTCTTAACCGAGCAAAATAGGCAGGAGTGGCTCGTAAGGATGTTTCAAGTCTGCCCTTCACGTGCCCGCATTCTGCAGCTGGAGGAAGGGGCGAGTTAGTTTGGGTCGCTATGGTAGTGGATTTTGCTGGCAGGCGCCTTTCTGGGCTGCTGTCCGTCTTGTTCGCTGTCTTTTAGTGACTTGTTCTTATCGCAGAGGTGGTCTGGTCCATCGAGCATGTTCTTGTTTGTGCCTGGACAGTAGGTATATGTTTCCTTCGTTCTCGTTCTTTTCCTTTTGTTCTCAGGATTAGGCCTCGTGATCCTTGTTGTTGTCCGAACTTCTTTTTGTTTTCATGTTTGCTCTCTAATAAAATCTCGCACTTATAAAAAAAACTTGTAACTGGGATTTCCTTTTCCAAAGTGATGATAGTATCGGATGGTCTCACAATATACTTCATCAAGATTTCCATTGTAAAAAGCCATATTAACATCTAACTACTCTGAAAACCAATTTTGAGTAGCAGCTAGAGCATGACCCTTACGGTGTCAGTCTATGTTGATACTCGATACTGCCTTGTTAAATTTGGACGAGTACTTCTAATTAGGGCTGGCAATTTGGACCGGCATCGGATGGAAAACCGGAAACCGGACCGTAAAACCCAGACGGTTTTAAGACCGAGACCGGATGTAAAACAATCCAATCCCGTCTTTGGTCTCAGAATTAGCAAAAATCCCCGGACCGATCCAGTCCGGGTCAAAACCGTGTAAAAACCGGAAGACCGAATAAATAAAAACAAATCAGACCAGAGGCAATTCTGACCCAAAGCCAAAGCCCATAGGGGCCCAAACAAACCTACTACCCGACGGCCCATAGGAGCCCATTTAGAACTTTTGTTAGTTTTAGGGTTGGCTGGTTGCAGATGCAGACATGCAGCCGATGCCCCCTGCCTCTCGTGAGTCTCTTGTCCTGCCCACTCTATCTTCATTCGCCGTCACACAATCACACATCGCAGAGAGCCAGGCAGCCGCCGAACAAAGCAGCCGCCGCCAGCAGCCTGTCGCCCGGCGCCCGAAGCCTGCAGCCCATAGTCCGCCTCTGCGGCCCACGCCGACACAGCGACGACGGCATCGGCCTCGACCCAGCCACGACGAGACGTCGACTCAGCCCCGAGTCTCCGACCATCGAACGCGACGCCGACTCTGTCATAGCCTCGTCGCCCCTCCGTCCAATCTCATCGCCGTCCGTCGACTTTTGGGGAACAGCTGCCGAACTCAGAAAAATGGAAGGGAGCAGCAGCTGGGTAAGTAGTTTTGGTTTATTAATGAGTAGTTTTATTTTATTAGTGATGATTTGAATGGTGGAATGTAATATAGTAGGGCTGGATGAGTTTATTATCGATTAGTTTTAGTTTGTTCTTCAATGGATTTAATTGTTTTGTGCAGGGCACTAAAAAGAGAATACCAACATCAAGAGGAGATGATAATTTGCCTCCTCTTCTTAGTAAGAAGCGACCACAACCACAAGCTTCAAAGACAGCTGTTGAAAGTGGGAATAATAGTGGAAATGTTAATGTTCAAGCCGCTGCCACTCAAGAACAAGAACGGCCAGCAGCTACCAACACCACAACAACACCTGAAATGGAGAAGACCAATAGGGAGTATGTGTTAAGGTCACCTGTATGGCAGAATTATGATTGTTACAAAGATGCCAAAGGCAAGAAGAAGGCAAGGTGTCATTACTGTGGAAAGTCACTGGCTGGGGATCCCTCGGGAAATGGTACAAGTTCTTTGGGTAGGCATACTCAAAGGTGCTTAAAGAAACAAAAAGAAAAGGGGAAGCAGTTGAATCTAGAACTCAATCCAACTTCTGTTGAAGGGCAAGGAGTTTTGGGGACTTGGAAATTTGATCAAGCATTTATCAAAGCTGGGTTAGTTGAAATGATAATTCTGGATGAAATGCCTTTTAGGAGCGTGGAGAAAGAAGGGATTAAGCGCTTCATGGCACGTGCTTGTCCGATGTTTAAGATTCCAAGCAAAAGAAGTATTAGAGAAGATTGTTTTAGATTGTTTCTTGAACAGAAGGGCAAGTTGAGAGATTACTTCAAGATCAAGTGTGGAGGAAGGGTGTCCATAACTACCGATAGTTGGACTTCTTGTCAAAATTTCAACTATATGTGCATCACTGCACATTTTGTTGGGAAGGATTGGAAGCTGTACAAGAAGGTGATAAGTTTATGCAAGATTAAAAGTCATAAGGGGATTGATCTAGGTGATGCAATAGCCTATTTTTTGGAGCATTGGGGTTTGCAAAATATTTTCACAGTCACAGTTGACAATGCAAGTGCAAATGACAGGACACTTCTTCATTTGAGAGATCAACTTGAAGAATGGGGTACTAATATAGTTGGTGGGAAGTACCTTCATATGCGGTGTATTGCTCATATAGTGAATTTGATTGTGAGCGATGGTTTAAAAGAGATGGGCATGTCAATAAGGAGGGTGAGAGAGGCTGTGAGATGGGTTAGATCATCACCATCTAGATTGGAAAAGTTCAAGGAGTGTGTGGAATTTCACAACATTGAATCCAAGAAGATGTTGAGTCTAGATGTGCATACAAGGTGGAATTCCACCTACTATATGCTTGAAGTTGTTGTGTTGTTTGAAGATGCATTCTCTAGTCTTGAGAGGAAGGATAAGGATTACAAACCCGAGCTCAAGGCAAAGAGGTACAAGAATCAAGAAATTGGTGTCCCTCAACATGAAGATTGGAAGAATGCAAAAGTTTTGACGAAGTATTTGGAATTCTTTCATGATTTGACTTTGATTGCATCCACTAATTCTGTTGTGACTGCTCATCGATTCTTGAGAGAGTTTGGAAGGGCATTCTATCATGTTGAGAAAATGATGAATAGCACAAATGATGACATAATTAGGATGGGTATGAAGATTGATAAGCCGTTAATTGCACATGTTTTTACCCCTATTCTGGAGCCGTTTGAGGTGTTGATTCTTGTGTTTTAGGCCGATTTCACGCTAGGTTGTGTTTGTTTGTGATATTTCAGGTCCTAGCAAGTGAATGAAGGTATAAAAGCGAGTTTGGGGTCCATTGGACGAAGATCGGGCGCGAGGCAAGTCAAAAAGGAAGCCACACGGGAACACTCACAACTCACACGGCCGTGCCAGTGACCAATTTGGACGTGTGGGATTGTGCGAGCCTTCACACGGGCACAGATAATTCCCACACGGTCGTGTGAAGTTGCAATTTGGCCGTGTGGAATTCTGCGAGGCTTCACACGGCCAGGCTGGGTGAGCTACACGGCCGTGTGGCCCTGGCCGTGTGGGAAGCCTGAAACTCAATTACTCGGAACGCAGCGTTTTGATCTCACACGGGCAACTGGGTATGCCACACGGCCGTGTGGCCCTGCCCGTGTGAATCGGGAATTTCTGGTTTTTACCCAATTTCGGGCTGCAAGTGGGAGAATCGGATTTTCAGAGCAAAAACAGAGCCCTAGAGAGAGAAAGTACGAAGAACACATCCTAGAAGCTATCTTGGAGCTGGGTTTCATCAAATCAAGCTTGGAGATCGTCATAGGAGTGGAAATCATTAGGGGTGGGCAACGGGACGGGACGGGATACCCATCCCGTTTGAAACGGGTACCAGTCGCATTTGGAGAACAAAGTCCATCCCATGTCCCAACCCATATAAGTAAACGGGTACCCATTACCCGTACGGGACGGATAACGGGTACCCAAACTACCCATAAATACCCGAAGTTTGAATCACTAAAATTTTAATAAAAGTTAACTTGTGCCCCTACTTAACAATCACAATATCCATTCGTGTTACAAAATTCATCCCAATCACACGATACGACAAATACTCGGTTTACAACCTACAAATTCATGAACAACCACAAGGCATTGAATAAATCATTCAAAGCACCCATAACATTAACAACTAAGAAAGGAAGAAGTTGATGTTGTTAGTTGCAAGTTGGAACTATAAAATTATAGTTGCTGTAAAACTAATTTGGGGAATGGCACGCTGCTGTTTGGTCCAAGTAGCAAGCTGCTAGGTGTTCTGCTCCAATTTCGAATTCTAATTCCGATGACTCCGCTGGCAGCTGCAAGCCTGTAACCTGCAAAAATGAGAATTCTTATTGTCGCGACAGCGTGGAAGGACGGCTGGGCTACGGAGATTATGATTATCACGACGATCGAAGAGAATACAGCCTGAGGAGAGATCAGAGGAGTCAAGGCGAGTTCCTGGGCGCTGGTTGCGCGGTGCGCTTTGGCCTTTCAGTTTCTGTTTCAAGCTTTGAGCCTTTGTATAATGAACGGGTTTAACGGGTACCCATATTACCCAAACGGGTATTTGCGGGTAACCCGCGGGTACCCTTTGTAGTAATGTACAATCCCAAGTCCCATCCGTTAATAATATTACGGGTATTATGGGTACCCGTAACCCTAAAAAAATGGGACGGATGCGGGTATACCCAAATACCCGTTACCCGTTGCCAACCCCTAGAAATCATCATCCCAGAGCAGATTCTTCCCATTGTTATGAGTATGACTGCTTTGTATTCTGTTTTCCCCTCTCTCTCTCTCTATGGAGTAGAACCCTTCTCTCACTTGGGTATGAAGAACCCTAGTTCCATGTGTTAGGGATTTGATTGTAATGACTTGGGATGATATTACTGTTTGGTTTTAATCGAATGATGCATGTTTATTGAGTCAATTGAAGTCTGATCAGCTTTTCCTGATTTCTGCTGCAACCTGAGATAGATAGAATCTGATTAGGTTATTAAAGCCTCATCATTCGGTGGTAGGAGATTGGCTATACGAGAGTTAGCCAGTTTACTGCTTTGTACTAGAATCCAATTCCAGTAGTGGAGTTCTGTGCTTATTGCTTCAGTTTTCTATCCCGGTGAAGACTAGTCGTCTGCCGGGTACTTAGACTGAGAGGGCTTGGTCAGCTTAAGAGATTCCAAGCTACTGTCGGATCTTCCGCAGTCTAATCAACAGTAAATCAATTCATGGAAATTACAATTGAAACCTAACTAAGGTGCTAGGGGACTCATTCCCGAGTGACTCTTCTTTGCTTGAGAAAATCGTACCAATTCCTGCTTTCTTTTTGCTTTTGCTTAAATCAACAAACACTTAACCTAGTTGGCTAGATAATAGATACTCACGGAGTAAGCAGTAGATCTAGACCCCGGGTTGATAATAGAACTTGCCATTTTACTTCATTCCCGGACTGCGATTACACTTGGTCGCAGTTTGGTGTTGTGTTTTGGCGTATCAAGTTTTTGGCGCCGCTGCCGGGGACCCTCTAGGTTATTGGGGAAACGTGAAAGTCTGTTACTTTAGCTTTTTTCTTTTCTTTTCCACCCTTGCTTTTCACTTGGGTGTTATGTTTTTGTTGGTGCAGCTCTGAAACATGTATCCTCATGGCTTCTCCAACCATTGGGGGTATCAACCACCATCCGTGTGGTATTACCCCGAGACTTCCTGGAGCAATCAAGGAGGAGAAGACTATGGATTCGGATGTCAGTACCAACCCCCCTACTACGGAGAATAACCAAACCCTTGGGAACCTCAAGGACAATATCCTTTTCAAAGAGAGTTCCTGCCACAACCAGAGGGGCCATCTGGGTTGGAGTTAGCCATGGAGTCCTTCACGGGTCACTCTGCAGAGCCATGCTATACTTCACTGGAAGATCCGAACAAACAACTAAGGCTTCTCGTGGAGCAGTTTGCTCGAGACACTGAGAGAACATGCTCCGAGATGGATCTTCAAATCCAAGCCCTTGCCTCTTCCGATCCCTCATTTCTCCATGAAATGGAGGAGACTGTTCAGTGCTCAGCGAAGCAAACAAAGTGGGTGGAGCAAGTTTGCTCACATCCTGCTCAAGATCACCTTTCTGCTACCACGCTAAAAGAGGTGGGGGATGACAAAGGCTACGTGGGCGTTGAGGAGCATACAGAAGTTATCACAGAGAACACCCAAGATAGTCATGATCAGGAAAGTCCTTTGGTTGCAGATCAAACCTGTAACACCTTAGGCGAATCCCACATCGACAAAGCACGGGAGAGATCCATGGTTCATAAGTAGGAAACCGACCTTAACTGACAAGACGCGTTTTGGGGTGTAATGGAGGAGTTCTTGTGAGAACTCCGAAGTTAAACGTGCTCAGTGTGGAGCACAACAAGGATGGGTGACCTTATGGGAAGTCACCCTGAATTGCACCCCAAGTCAAAATCCGTGCGGGTGTAGAGGCCCAAAGCGGACAGTATCTTGTCGGGAAAAGGTTCGGGATGTTACAAGTGGTATCAGAGCCTCTCCGCGTCCCTCTTGAACGATGGTGGGGCAAACCTCAACGAGGACGTTGAGTCCCAAGGGGGGGGGGTGTATGTAACACCTTAGGCGAATCCCACATCGACAAAGCACGGGAGAGATCCATGGTTCATAAGTAGGAAACCGGCCTTAACTGACAAGACGCGTTTTGGGGTGTAACGGAGGAGTTCTTGTGAGAACTCCGAAGTTAAACGTGCTCAGTGTGGAGCACAACAAGGATGGGTGACCTTATGGGAAGTCACCCTGAATTGCACCCCAAGTCGAAAACCGTGAGGGTCGAGACCCAAAGCGGACAGTATCTTGTCGGGAAAAGGTTCGGGATGTTACAAAACCTTTCCTCATTTATGCTCTAACATGTTGGGCCCGTGCGAGGAGATGCAAGATGATCCCATTGAAGAAATTGATTGGCGACTTGCTCTCCAATATGTTCTAGAAGGAGAAGAGCGAGCAAGGATGAGGAAGGAAGTTGTGGAGGATGAGGAAGAAAGAAAAGAAGAGGTAGTTCTTGATCTTTTCCAAGGGGAGAGACCACATTTTGAAGAAGGAAGGGGGGTTGAGGAAGCAATTGACATCCAGGCTGAGGATGAAGTTGAGGTGGAAGAGGCTTGCACCAACCCTATCTTACATTTGATATCTGCACCAAACTTCGAGTAGCTGCTTGGCAAGGACCCATTTGCAGTGTCTCTGTGCCAGACCAAGACCACATCAACATCAATTCCTCTTGGTGGATGCGAAGGTGGTCAATCGAATATATCTTATCTGATTTGGGGAAGTGAGACAAGATATGCAGACGCGAAGGAGAGGTCTCATGAGTGGAGACTTCATCTTCCTCAAGGCCACGAGCCATCTTCATCACCTATTACATCACCTGCTTGTGACTCGAGACTCCACATCATCGACGAGAACCTCAACTTAAAGGAGGTTCTGGGATGGACCAAAACTTAGGAGCAACCGTCTAGCTAAGACGTAAAAGAAGCGCTTGTGGGGAGGCAACCTC